AAAACGGATAGAAAAGATTACGTAGAAATAAATGCAGATTTTTTTGAAATGCAAAACACCGTATTAGAAATTCAAATAAATTCTTAATTTAATTTCCATCTGTCGTAAACAATTCCTTTGGGAATTACGGCGTAAAAAAGCAAAAATCTTAGGTCTTTCGATGTGTGTGAATCAGAAAATAAAGAAGCTTTTTATGTCGCACACATTTTGCAATGTACTGATCGAGTTCGAATGTGTTCAACTTCTCAGAAACTAACTTGCAGTACATACGTTTGGAGATATAAAGTTTTGCAATAGATATGATCTACAGCCGCCTTGCAATATAAAATAAAATACAAGAAGTATAGATTTCTATTAGATAGTAGAGGAAAAAGACACTGCAGCTAGTGTTGTAGGGAGATTTTAAAGTTCCAGGCAGCTACTAAATCAGACTTTGCGCAATTCTCGTAAAGACGATGTGAAAAAGAGTAGATTGCAACTTATTTATTTGCGCTGCAGTGCAATAACACGTTGCCACTTTACAGGAAGGGACATTTTTCTAGTTACTCCGGCGAAATGTTAAAATAAGAAAAGTTCGCTGTATTGGAATTGACTCGCTCTCTAAAGCTCCCGTTCGCGAAATATCTCTTCAGGAATCAATTGAAGCGCCATCATGTCGCAAACGACTGTTCCCACGTTTACTTTCAATTCTGATGCGTTTGTCCGACTTGAAAGGCCGATCACTGTGCAAACCTTTTGAATACGTCACGTCATTTCAATTGAATGGGTATGCGAATTAGATGCAAACACTTACTTTTCAATAGCAGCTCTTATTTATCCAGTTTCGAAAGCATCAAGAGGTGTGCCAACAAAAATGCTTGTTTCTGCTAATTGAAACGCTATAGAGATATTTGCGAAGTGAGAAAAGCGCATAATTTGCTTTCTAAAACGCAGTTAAGTGTTACAACAAACTCATAGAGCTTTCCATTCCGCCATTTTTCTCACATCGCAAGGTTGGGCAACGACCGTAATAAATTTCTCATCAAAAATTCCGCTAAAGGTACGAGGTCCTTCGAAAGACACGTATTTATAGCCAAATGGAAAATCCTCTAGTGCCACATTAGAAAAAAACAGCAAGTTAGGGGTGGATTTCAGGAGTATTTGACCAAGGAACAATAAGTAAATCCCGAACAGACTATTTCTAGTTGTTTCCGCAAATAGCGATGGCATTCCGGTACGGTATATTCATCAAGCTGCGAAACAATGTCGATATCTTGGGACTGCAGTAGATTGCTTGCAATTTTTTAGCAGGCGAAATTGTTCGATAGACTATCAAAGTTCAATATTGTTCGCCAATACACAAGACGTCGAGTGCCAATTTATATAATGGAACCACTATGCTTTCACCTTTTCAATTCCCGTATTGAATAGGGATCTCGTGTACTGCCAATATAATTCTTACTTTTTCGTTTGAAACCTGTCACGCTTTGGGAAAATTTATTAATTAAAGCATGAGTTTCGAATTTAATGCCGAAGGTAAATTAAGATTCTTCTCTGTATCATGCCCCTTCCTCATCTCGTGCGGAATGCAGTTATTGTGTCTTAGCAATACGAGAAGGGGGTCCTCTAATTAATCTTTCTACTGTTTAGTATGTGGTTCAATGTGGTAATCGACTTTAACATGAATTTTGCTTGCGTTTTCACCTGTACCTGTTAAATTAATGGAAGCCAATGCTGAAATAGAACGATGTCATTTTGATGTTTTTTAAGTACATGCAATTTATCACTGTTTTATTTTGTCTAAATTGAACTGTAGATGACAGGTAAAGCTATGAGATGGCATCCAAGAAACACAAGGCGAGATTATGGTAAGCAGCAAAGTACCTGATATTTTAGGGACCCATTACGAAACTGCAGTTTATCAAAATCATCATAGCCGTCTACGAGACAGAGTCACGAGAGGAAAATCGCTGTCGCTATCGTATATCTACGAGCCAAAGAAGAAGCCAGAAGTGAGTTGGATGGATTCTGGGCAAACAAAGGTTGCCAGGGAGAAAGGAGTACCCATCACGGACGAGTCCGCGCTGACAAAATTCTAGGACACACCCAAGACGCAGTCCTATCGCAGGAAGTAAGTTGACCACTCCGAGGGAAGGTATCAAGAAACAACAGCACGGAACATAGACTACACTTATACCGTAAACCTGCCGCTGAAAGGAGAAGCTGAGGCACTGGAAAAGACAACCGCCCACCTTCTACAGACGGAATCCAGGTTCAAGGCTTTCTTGCGAGAGTATGAAGAGCTAGGATAAATGGTACCTCGGGATGCAGGGAAACACCTGCAAAATACTACATTCCCCACCATACACAACATTACGGATGGTGTTTGACGCCTCAGCCACTTCCAGGTCAGGACAAATACCAAACAAAAACCTTCTGATTAATGGGAAAATTTAAGGTCACCCCGATGAAGATGGCCGCGGATGGAGTTTTGTGGGAAAGTAGCCAGCCAAGATGAGGTTAAAAGCTACCTTTTTGCAAATAATGCGCTTAAAGAGTACTGTGAATGCTAAAGCTGTATCCAGTTTGAATTTCATTCAATTCGGTTCATAACTATCGGAGATATCATATCACGAACTCTGATTTATAAATTTGATGAGTAATCCACCCAGAAATTTCTTCGTAATCGCTCCATCCATGAAGCCATCAAGCGAGCGATTGAACGATTGGGAGCAAGCTTCCTGCGTAACAACTCAACGCTAAAATCTAGAGAAATGTTGGAGATGCTATAAAAATGATTAGGGATTTTAAGAATCCCCAAAAAATTCAGAAGAAGCCATACTTTATTTGAATATTTTTAGCGCATTTTTTAAGAATTAAAAAAAATTCTTGTCTGTTTGTCGGTCTGTCCATCCGGGCCCACTTCTGCGGTTTTGTACTACTTTTAGGGGAAGTGTCCTAGAGTCCTGAAATTTTTTTGCAATAGGTAGCCTATACCTTGAAGGTATGCCAGACGGCTATCAAATTCTGTTCTCTCAGGAGGGGGTCACAAATTATTTCCTGAGATACTGTTTTTGATAGTAAAACGTGCATAATTTTTACCTGCGACAACCAATTAAGGGGGGAGGGGCGGTAGGCGAAACACACATTCTATTGAAAGGTCCCATCGAAATAAATTGGTTTGTACAAACTATAACTATAACATGATATAGAATTAAAGGTCTCATCAAAAGGAATTGTTTTCTACCAACGACTGCCCTTCTTTCTGAACCCTTATCACAAAAAAGGGGGTGTGAGTATACTTCTCCTGGAGCCTTCATCGCAGGCTTCTTCGTGATCGGTTGTAATTTCTTATATCTCAAGAACGGATTGTAGGAGGAGTGTACTCACAAAGAAAGATGTTGTCTTCAAGAAATATAACCATTGGTGATGTCAAAATTTTAAAAAAGAATCTCGAAAACGGTTTGTCGGAGGAGAGAAAGGCAAAATGAATCGTCTGCACGAGATATACATATGGGTCGAAGCGGATATCTTGAAAACAAAGTGTCGGAAGGCAAGTGGAACGTCTAGAGGTACTCTCAAAGGGCGGAAAGATGGTCTAAATGAGACACACCTCCTAAAATGTTTGAGAAAAGTATTATTCGTGCATTATATAGCGTAGATTGCGAATGTATGCCAAGTGGCCTTTAACAATTTTTGACGTGGGGGTTGGTAGAAATATGTTTTACGACTTCGTCAAAGTCACAATATCGATCAATTGGCTCGTTTTAACTGGATAGCACAGTGGAAATGTTAGGGATGTTATACGGGCGGTTTGTTAACCCTCAATCTCGATTCACCACGATTTCCACTCAAAGCTAAACGCAAGAAGTTAAAATTTAGCTCTACGATGGTTTTCCCAGGTACCAGTTTGACATTTCATTCACGAACACATATTTTCTGTGAAAATTTTAACCCTGAAATTCAGGATGAAAGTGTTTCTGCTTAAAATTAAAGGAGACAAAATTTCCAAAAGCTTGAAATTCCATTTTCCCCACCGTAAAGCAGAAAGTGCACATAAATAAAAAATCAGTTAAATATTTGCTAACACAATATTGCCATTCCCGTTTATTAGGTTCACGATTAAAAAATTGTAGGGGGATGAAATGTAAATATTTCCTTTACTTCCCCGGTTCTATCTCTCCATCTACAGTATAGTTAAGAAATATGTACAATATCTCTTTCGTTAATAAATGTAGTTAGTACCTACCTAAAACCCATTTATACATAAGTTGGTAATATGGCAAAATGACGGCTTTTATGAATTATACATTCGAAATGAATTGTTACAGATCACCTGAATGTAAATGACAGAAAATTGGGTCACCTGTAGATCTTTATCCAAACAAATTTCGATTATGCGCTACTCAATAATTCAGTTCAGTTGCCTAATTCGCATTTACTTCAATCATGTAGCAAATGTAGTGATGAAGAAGCCAAAACCGTCAATGGCTAATTAAAAGATGGCAAATTTATCTTATCTGCATCGTTGTTATACAGTGCGATTCGACGTTTTTTCTTTCAGAAATTTTAGGATTTCTCGACCAATCGAAAGCGGAATTAAAAAATTGATACAGTTCCGGACGGACAGACAAGTGGAATGTCACAATGAAACTTTTCAATCTAGGGGCTTTCTAAAATAGCGGATTAATTCAATTGCATTAGCCCCATTCGGCCGTCGACGATAATGTTTGAAAGTTTGAAATATTTGCTAATAGGATTTTAGGCTCGAATCACCACCGCCCCAACTAAAATCTGGCGTGATGTTCACCAGACCGTACATTATGTTTAATTAACGACTCCGCAATGCTCCGAAATTGGTCCCATAGTTTGGACTAGATAACACCTTGTAATTATTGACCGAGTCGAAGTCACATGTAAATATTTCCACTATGGCAGTCTTAAAACTTTGAAAACTTTTTTGAATTCGACCGGGAAATTTGGTTGTGCGCGCGTAAAAGCAAAAAAACTAGCCTACTTACGTTTTTAAGGGTTGCACCTTCGAACGCACGTAAAAAGTTCTTCACGCGAAAACAAAAGCGCGCTCACCCAGTAAACTTGCAACATTTAATGTTGACAGTGGAACATAAACTGAAAGCTCCAGAATGATAAGAGCGCAAAGTTTTCCGTCGCGGCGCAGCGGAAAAGCGCGACGGTTTCGCGTGCTCTCTGACGAGCGCTAACTTCATAAAGTGGTTGCTTAAAAGATAATAAAAGGGTGAAAATTCCCAACTTCTGAGCTGCCCTTGGTAAACAAATAATAAACACCACATTGCATAATTTGTTAAAAGTAGCCCGTGAGCGTGTCTTGCCTTGATTTTAAAAGTGACATGTTTATTAATTGTCAAACATGAAGTTAATTTGACGCCTCAAGCTTTATTCCACAAAACCTTCCTATAAATTGTGGAACAGAACTTTAATTTAAACTCCTCAATTGTCGTTTTTCGAATCGAACGGGGTAGACGAGGCGCCTCCAGCTCCAAACTGAAGCTGAGGTTTGAACATATTAAGCTAAAACTGAAGTTCTTTTCTTTTTTGATTTGGTCTTATAACAAGGAAGAATGCAATTATAATTTTGCATCGGTAATTAGTTTGCCGAATGGAGTGGGTAAGATAAGATTTCCTTATGAATAGTTTAGTTTATTTTAAATTCCTGGTTTATGAAAGAAGTTTGAATGGGTTCCAATTAATAATTTAGTATCTAATTAATGGAGTTTTCAATTTGGGAAACGGAAATCTGTATTAATAACATTATCGTGGTAAATTTTCAATTCATATGATAAAACCTACCTCTAACCTACTTTGTACACATACTTTCCTAGGACGCAATCATTCTGTCAGCATTTTCACCCAATATAATAGTACCTTATATTACTTAAATTAGGTTGCAATATATACAGTGTGACCATAACATATTATGAAATTTGAGCTCTTAAATAATTTCCTAAACTTTTATGAGAATTTTCAATTGAACCTCAAGTTTGATGATGATAAGCGGTTGAATTAAATTTATTAATTTTTAAAATTTTGCAAATGTTTGTGAGTATTGAAGCTAAAAATCATGTTCCTTGATCCGTAATAATTTCTCCTGGAATCCCATACCTTAAAATAAATTGTTCTACAAATGTTCTGGCTACTGTCTCGGCTTCTTTGTTTGGAATTGCTTAACATTCTACGAATTTACTAAGATCACATTGTAATGTTAAAATAATATTTCTTTAGATTATTATACATACGGTTAATACCTGTAGGTATAACCTTCCTTTTTTTACCAGAAATGGACTAGGTACACCAAAATTTCTTGGGAAAACACTTTTTCGTAGAATCCAAAACAATTCCTACTTTTTCGATCAGACTTCTCAATCAAAAGTTATAGTAGACTGGAAACCAAATTCGAAAGAAAATTCAAAGGGCCGTAACTTTTGAACTAGTAGCCCAATCTTGGAACTGTTTGAAATTATGGGTTCTACAGGCCACATTCTATCAGAAACTTTTTTTTCCGGGTCGATCTGAGGCAATTTTTTTTGCGGGCCTCAAAAAAAGGCAATGTATAACCTTCTTTTTTTACCAAAAATCGACTACACCAAAATTTCTCGGGAAAACACTTTTTCTTGTTAATTTTGGTGCGTAGAATCCAAAACAATTCCTACTTTTTCGATCAGACTTCTCAATCAAAAGTTATAGACTGGAAACCAAATTCGAAAGAAAATTCAAAGGGCCGTAACTTTTGAACTAGTAGCCCAATCTTGGAACTGTTTGAAATTATGGGTTCTACAGGCCACATTCTATAAGAAAAAATTTTTTTCCGGGTCGATCTGAGACAATTTTTTTTGAGGGCCTCAAAAAAAGGCAATGTATAACCTTCCTTTTTTACCAAAAATCGACTACACCAAAATTTCTCGGGAAAACACTTTTTCTTATTAATTTTGGTGCGTAGAATCCAAAACAATTCGTACTTTTTCGATCAGACTTCTTAATCAAAAGTTATAGACTAGAAACCAATTTCGAAAAAAAATTCAAAGGGCTGTAACTTTTGAACTAGTAGCCCAATTTTGGAACTGTTTGAAATTATGGATTCTACAGGCCACATTCTATAAGAAAATTTTTTTTTCCAGGGTCGATCTGAGACAATTTTTTTGCGTGCCTCAAAAAAGGGCAGTGTACCTATGTCCTCCTGTGGGCAATAAGTGAAAATCGTTTAAAATTATTTTTCTCGTTTCTAAGTCAAGTATTTTTTGAACATTTGATATCACTGATATTTTAATATTACATGATTCCTTAAATTCATTATGGTTTTGAGTACTTCTTGTAATAATGTGGTGGCATCCTTTTTCATTCTTTATCTCTATATATAAAAATGAACCCCTGTTTCTTCTGGTCACACAATGACTTTAGAACGACTTTACCGATTTCATTCATCTTTTTTTTTAAGTTTTCTAATACTGTGTAGAAGGTTCTTACGGCAAGAAAAATTAAGAAAATCGCGCAGAAAATTGGAAAATTGGAGAAAACTTAACGACTATTTAAACATCGCGCGTTTGACGTTGCGGCAGCAATTGTTTTAACAGCTACTTCGATCAGCATATATCCGTCAAAAAATTAATTTGTGTGCTGTCAATTCGATCGGAAAGTTTATCCAGATTTCAGTGACTTTTTTGAGAAATGTCGATGTTATTTGACCGCAATCACGCCATTTATATAAAAAGTTTGATATACCTAATATCCATTTTTGGTAAGTGTTGATACACTAAACACGTGGTATACATAATTATACAGAAACATTAGGCAGTTAATTTTTATTTTCAGTTGAATTTTAGATTTTTCGAGATGCTACTAATTAGACGTACCAACATGGTACCAACTTAGGTCGCAGAATTCGTAATCCTACAAGTTAAACATACCGGATGGTGCACGGTAAGTAATAGGGATTTAACATGGGAAATTAGTTTTATGCAATATCCTGCCCTCCTGTACATTTTACAGAAAAAACTGTAGAGTTTAAAGTTGTTCAGAATTAAAAGGTGCATAAAAAACTGTTTTTACATGTTTTATGAAGCTTTTGGTATACCCGCAAATTTAAAAATAAATTTCTGTTATTAGTAGCAATAGCCATGACTTTTGTTGTTTTATGAATTGACATACTAATTAATAACAGAAATGTTGAAATTTATTTTTAAATTTTCGGGCATATTAAAAGCTTAATAAAACATGTAAAAACAGTTTTGTATGCACCTTTTAATTCTGAATAACATTAAACTTTACAGTTTTTTCTGTAAAATGTACAGGAGGGCAGGATATTGCATAAAACTAATTTCCCATGTTAAATCCCTATGTTCCTACTTACTGTGCACCACCCGGTATATACGAGTAAGTCAAACTGACGAGCAGAAATGTCCCCTTTAATCCCTATCGAGCTGCATTTAATTACAACGTAACAATCGATTACAGTTTACAGTAAATCGTTGCTATTAGACCAATGAACTTTGTGTGTCCACATCGCAAGACTTTTAAGTTTAAAACTGAAGCCCCGGGATTATGTTGCGCCAGTGGCCAAGCGAAATTGACGCCATTGGTACCGCCACCAGAGCCACTACATTCCTTGGTTTCCGGAAATGGGCCAGATTCTATACATTTTTTTACTCATATCCAGGAATACAACAATTGCTTTCAAATTACAGCATTTGGCGCAGCAAAAAAAAGGTACGTTGCTAGCTCTGAATCGCCAAAAGCAACGTAGAAGTGAGTGCGTTAATTTTTTATTATTCTGGGGAGAGATGGGGAGATTTTGGGGCAAGTGTGTCAAAATCTCTTTTCCGGCTAAACGGTTGAACCGACTGGAACCAAATTTGGTAGGTACACATATTCTTAGACATAAAAGGGCAGAATCGCGCATGTGCACGTGGGGCGGGTGGTACCTGCACTAGACACAGCAAATTTCTTGAAATAATTTTTTGTTATTATTTATTCCAGTTCAAATTGATTAGGTATGCATAGCTAGGAAAGAGGACAACGTCCGTCGGGTCAGCTAGTAATTATTAATTCTGGGATTTCGTATTCCACAGATAAATGTTTCAGATTTCTCAACGTTTCACGTAGTGAATGCATTGATCGAGGATTCTGTTTTACATAAATTGTTTGCAAACTTAAATTACATATTACCCTATTGGTGGCGTACTCATGTGCCATTTGTACTCAAATGTTTTCAAACTCCTTTTTGCCTACAAAATTCGAATGAATCCTGCGTTGGGTTCAACACTTCAACAAGTCACTGGTGATCGATCCGTTTCTTTTCAATTGTCTCACTGAACCCCATTTTTCGCTTGTGCTCGTGTCGTTAGATAGACAGTATTAGTTACAACATTACTCATATTTTTAAGTTCGTCTAAAGAAATGTCTATCCGTGACAATGCATCTGCTACTACATTATCCTGTCCTTTTGATATATTTTATAGTGAAATTATACTCTTCAAGTACTAATCTAAACTTTGTCAATCTACTAGATGGATTTGTCATACTAAATGAATATACTAGTGGTTTATGGTCTGTATAAATTATAAACTTTCGTCCGTATAAATATGATCTAAAATGTTTCACTCCAAAAACAAGAGCTAATAACTCTTTTTCTATGGTGCAGTAATGTTTTTTGGGCTTTATTCAAAGATCTACTCGCTTACGCAATTGGTTTATCGTTATCATTTAATAACACAGCTCCTATTGCTACTTCTGATGCATCTGTTTTTAAAATAAAACAATTCTTTTCGGAAAAATTTGGATTTTGTAAAATTGGTGGGTGTATTAAAGAAGATTTTAATTTGCTAAATGAATTTTGACATTCGGTGTTCCAAACAAATCCTCTGTAATACGTTCAAAGGTGATGCTATATGACAAAATTTGGAATGTAATATCTATAATAATTTGCAAAAGCTACAAACCGTCTAGTTTCGTTTGCATCTTTTGGAACTGGATAGTTTTGAATTGTTTCAATCTTTTTTGGATCGGGTGACACCCCGTTTTCTGAAACATCATTGGTGGATTTAGTTTTTAATTAATATCTCTTATGCCCCTATGCACCGAAAAAT